ACAACTATAGTTTGGTGGGTCTTGTATCTGGAAACTAGTTTCTGAAGCTATAATCTATACTGGTATATGGGCAGAAGTCTCAAATTCAATTCTATAAAAATCTAGGTTGTTACCACAGACTTCTACAGAGTTCCTCATGAGAAGCTACAGAGTTCCTCATGAGGGGAAAATTCTAAAGTTTTCATGCTTCTAGTGCATGAGGACATGTGTTCAGTGTTGGCCCCGGGTCCAGCATCATCAGCAGTACCAGATGACTTGATAGAAATACAAAATCTTGAGTTCTCTTCCATATCTATCTATAGAAACTTGAGTGTTTTCCATGAGCCTCTTGGTCTTTCTGATGCATTCTCAATTTTGAAAATTTTTTGTTAAAGTAATAAATAAGCGAAATATTGAGCTATCTAGAATATACTCCTCAATGAAAGTACTTTGGGGTCTGAAAGATAGTACTGTGGGTTGGGGTGCTTGGCTTGCACACTCCCAATCCGGGTTCAGTCCCCAGCACTGACACCTCACAGAGTGATTCCTTAGCACAGAGTTATGAATAATCCTGAGCACCCCCGGGTATGACCCCAAAACAAAACAAAAACAACTAAAAGAAATAACTATGAAATCTAAAACTCAGTAGGTGATATTGGTCACTCGTGAAAATCGAGACAAATTTTTATGAAACCAACCTAATAATATAATCATAGGTTGGTTCTCCACTTTTTCTCTTTCAAAAATACTCTTGTCTGATCCCAAACCTTGACCACTTGAATCAGAACCCCTGAAACATCTGTCACTGTTGTATCTGGATATCTGTAATTTTTAAATCATTTAGATCATTTTAGGAGAATGAGACCCTTCATTGTTACTGGTATTTGGCATATTGGGTACGCCACGGGGAGTTTGCCAGACTCTGCCGTGTGGGCAGGTTATATTCGGTAGCTTGCCAGTTTGTCCAAAGTAGGAATAAGATGATAAGATGTCGTGCTTTTTTTTTTTAACATGGCACTTTTAAAAAAAATCTCAGGGCTAGGACGAAGGAGACGTTACTGGGGCCTGCTCGAGGCAATCGCGAAAAACAGGATGGTCGTGATCCTGATCATGATAGATCATTTTAGCAAGCAGTCACACATTAGAGCTGTCCTAATACAGAGAGTGCCTACTAAGAGCGATAGCACAGCGGGTAGGGCGTTCGCCTTACAAGCGGCCAACATGGCCGACCCGAGTTCGATTCCTCCGCCCCTCTCGGAGAGCCCGGCAAGCTACCGAGAGTATTCGATATGCCAGACACAGTAACAACTAAGAAAAAAAGAAAAGAAAAAATATATATAGGTCAGGTTGCTTTGATTTGTCATAATTTTCTCTTAGAATTTTATTTTACTCTTAATATAATAATTTCACTCTCAGATCTGGAGCAATAGTACAGCGAGTGGGGCATTTGCTTTACATGCGGCCAACCCGGGTTCTATCCTAGCATCCCATATGGTCCCTCCAGCACCGCAAGGAGTAATTCCTGAGTGCATAGCCAGGAGTAAGCTCTGAGCATCGCTGGGTATCACCCAAAAAATAAAATAAAATAATAATTTCACTCTCATTATAGAAAAATAAATGTATTGAAATTTATTTTCAATAAAAATTAAATCTACATTGAAATGTAGAAAATTTGAAGGGCAAGATGAAATACTGTATCATTGCATCACTGTCCTCCTGTTGTTCATCAATTTGCTTGAGTGGGCACCAGTAACGTCTCCATTGTGAGACTTGTTGTTACTGTTTATGGCATATCAGATAAGCTACAGGGAGCTTGCCAGGCTCTGCCGTGGAGGCGGGATACTCTCGGTAGCTTGCTGGGATCTCCGAGAGGGATGGAGGAATCGAACCCGGGTTGACTGCATGCAAGGCAAACGCCCTACCTGTTGTGCTATCGCTCCAGCCCAAGATAAAATAAGACATTCAAAATATTCAAAAACTTGTTATTTCATGTGAATTTTTTCTCTCTTTTTTTTTTTTCACTGTTGTTGGTATCTTTTTTTTTTCTTTTTTTAATTTATTTATTGAATCACCATGGGAAAGGTTACAAAGCTTTCAGGTTTAGGTCTCAGTCATGCAAATATCAAACACATTTCCCTTTACCAAAACTTATTTTTTACCATGAAGAACCCCAGTAAAACCCCACCCCCCACCCCTCCCAGTCCCTGTGGGGCAGATGAATTCTAGTTAACACTCTATCTGCTTTGATTAGATTCATTGTTTCAATAAAAGATTCACCACTATTATTTAGAGTTTACCCCCCCCCCCAAATCAGACATGCTGAAAAAGCATTGTGAAGTGATTTGCTTTCTACAGCTGGGTTCAAGAATTAAATGTTGGTTTTAGATTTCTGCTATTTTACTTATTGACCCTGGAAGTATTTCTACTGAAAGTCAGATAGTTAAGAAATTGGTCTCTGTGCACTGGAGACGTGGCCGTGCTGGAGAGCCGCTAGTGGGGGGCAACTGGTGGCCTCGGTAGGGCGTGAAGGGCAGACCGAAACGCCCCCCTTCCCATGAGGTTTTAGTCGCCCCCACTCCCCCGGCTCATACCTGCTGTACACAAGGCTCCCATGCGGCCGCCATCTTTCTTTCCAGAGAGGAGAAGGCGTCTGGGGCAACACCCTTTCCCCTCTGGACAGACCTGATGGCCTGGATTAACACATAGTCCATTCACTTTTCTGCTCCAAGCTGCCAGGTTCTGCATTAAGTCCTTGTGCTTCTGGGGCCGTGGCCGTGCTGGAGAGCCGCTCGCGGGGGGCAACTGGTGGCCTTGGTAGGGCGTGAAGGACGGACCGGAACGCCCCCCTTCCCATGAGGTTTTAGTCGCCACTACACCCCCAGCTCATACCTGCTGTCCACAAGGCTCCCATGTGGCCGCCATCTTTCTTTCCAGAGGGAGGAGGGTGGAAGGGACCAACACCCTTTCCCCTCCGGGCAGACATGATGGCCTGGATTAACGCATAGTCCTTTCACTCTTCTGCTCCAAGCTGTTGGGTTCTGCATTAAGTCCTTGTGCTTCTGGGGCTGTGGCCGTGCTGGAGAGCCGCTCGTGGGGGGCAACTGGTGACCTCGGTAGGGCGTGAAGGACGGACTGGAACGCCCCCCTTCCCATGAGGTTTTAGTCGCCACTACACCACCAGCTCATACCTGCTGTCCACAAGGCTCCCATGTGGCCGCCATCTTTCTTTCCAGATGGAGGAGGGCGGAAGGGACCAACACCCTTTCCCCTGCGGGCAGACATGATGGCCTGGATTAAGGCATAGTCCTTTCACTTTTCTGCTCCAAGCTGCTGGGTTCTGCATTAAGTCCTTGTGCTTCTGGGGCTGTGGCCGTGTTGGAGAGCCGCTCATGGGGGGGCAACTGGTGACCTCGGTAGGGCGTGAAGGACGGACCGGAACGCCCCCCTTCCCATGAGGTTTTAGTCGCCCCCACTCCCCCGGCTCATACCTGCTGTCCACAAGGCTCCCATGCGGTCGCCATCTTTCTTTCCAGAGAGGAGAAGGCGACTGGGGCAACACCCTTTCCCCTCCGGACAGAGCTGATGGCCTGTATCAACGCATAGTCCGTTCACTTTTCTGCTCCAAGCTGCTGGGTTATGCATTAAGTCCTTGTGTTTCTGGGGCTGTGGCCGTGCTCCAAACTTAACTATGATTTTCAGATAGAAACGTTGGGTGGTTTACTTTGTATATATGGATCCCTTTGTATGTAGAGAGATGTCGCGCGGCCGCATAAGCGACGTGCGGTTTTGAGGAAAAGTCCTAGTTCCCGCATACTCGAGCTGTGGTTGTAGAGGCTTCTGGTCACTGGGGTTCCATCTGGGGGAGGCGGGATGCGGTACCTACACCATCTGGGGCTTCCCGATGATCTCGGCTCTTTTTGGAACCTGTTTTTTTTTTTTTCCTTCGGGATCTGTGGATCCCGCCCTCCATGTTGTCCTTCTCTTTGGCTGAATGCTCAATTTTTTCTCTCTTTTAATGTATTGGTTTGAATTGTTTATAGCATTGGGCCTTATACAATATTTTTCTGTCAATTTTTAACTTAATATTATATCTTAGGTAATTCTGCACTGTTATAATTAGAAATAGTCTTTGTCATGCTTCTGTGTCAACATGACAGAAAGTTTTTAACTCATTTTACGTGTATGTACTTCATTATGGCATTTATTTAGAGTCCTTTCTTTCTCAACAATGCCTGTATTTTAAGCATATTGTGAAATTCTGTGTCCATTATCATAAGTAGAGCATAAGTCTCTTTCTCATAAAATTTCTCCTTTAAAAATGTTAAGTTTTTCCTCATCACAGTTTCTTTAAATCTTATTGCAGAAATAAAAATAAAACACAAATATTTTTACATTGTTTCATAACCTCCATTTTTTCTTGACAGTCTCAGATGATGTTGGGTTCCATAAGGATGTGATCTGATTCCTAAATATTCACATACATAAAAGTCCCACATCTGCATGCTTTGGGAAGAAAGAACCAAAGTAACTAGGCAAGAAAGAGAGAGAAGTGAATTGTATAGGAACTAAAGAAATAATGGCTGACAAGCAATATTGGTCAGAGATGTCAAAATGCCACAATCAAAAAATGTCTTTTGTGCCCCTCAGTTTTTAGCATAATCTGCCCAGTTCCTTATTTTTTGCATTTCTAGTTCTGGAGTATATATTACTGGTTAACAGTATATATATATATATATATATATATATATATATATGTATGTATATATATATACTGTCACAGTCTTTTCTGTTGTTCATCGATTTACTTGAGCGGGCCCAGTAACATTGGGCATATAGCAAACACATTGTTACTGTGTTTGGCATATCGAATACATCATGGGTAGCCTTGCCAGGCTTTACCATGTGGACGATATATATATTTCTTGATTACCTGCACTCTCTACATTAATTAGTCTAGGACTGTGTTATTTTTATTCTTGTTATCTGAATGCTCCAGATAATTCTGCCCCATATTCTTGCAGGACATTATGGGAAGGATGCTTATCGGAGTGGAGGACCTGATCTTCATAATTTCATCTCATCTGGATTTGTCACGTTAGGAAGAGGACACTCGAAGGGTACAGTGGAAACCATTTTTTACTAAAATACAGAGGGTGCTTAGGGAACCCTGATCTGAAATGTGAAAATAGTGTGAAGACCACTGGGCAGGAATAAGTGGGTAACTCCCATAAGCTTATCCTGGTTATATGGGTCACTCCTTGACAGGCAAGGCCAGGAAGTCATAGATGGGACTGTAGACTGCAAGGTAGATTCTAAGAGACACTTATCCTATTTCACCTGTGACATGAAGAAGAATTCAGGTGTCAATGTTTCTCTTTAAGTGTGGGCCACCAGCACTACGAACAGATGTGGCAGATTGTGCAAAGTGTTTGTCCCCCATCTTTCCTATTATTGCTCCTTTATTTTTTTGGCTTTTTATAGTGACATTTTATGAACTTATGAACTGATGTGAAAGTTCTGTTTTCTGGGTTTCTAAGCCAGTTTGTATGTTGAGATTTTTGGCATTCTAAGCTGCTGTGTAAACTCTCTGTGATGTGGATTTGGAAGTAGATGTTGTACAGTCCTTCATATTCAAAATGAAATCTAATGTGGAATTTCTGTTGAACTGCTTTATGACCTAGCTGACAGCTTGCAGAACATTAGTGCAGGGGGCATGGATTTCTCCTTTCTGTCTTTACTTTAGAAGTCATACTAGTATTGCTAGCATTCTGTCAGTTCAAGAGTAACTAACTACCTGAATCTCTAACTCCTTTGATTAACCTCTTAACACCTGTGTACTGCTGTAAACCAACTGTGAAATCTTTGTGGATATGGTATGTCCCTGTCTTCCTCTGAAATATGTGTTCGTTTTAAGTGTGAGTGAATAAGGATCTTTGCAATGTTTTCTTACATTCTGTGCATTAACTTTTTACATACCTGTTGTGATTTTTGTTTTTCCTATAGAGGTAAAAAATCTGTATCTGTGTATGTATTTTATGTTGTGTGTATTTGTGACCAAATAAAATATATTTGCCAAGAGTTAAAGAATAAAATTGGAACCAGCTGACTTCAGAAGGACATATGGGATGCACAGTTAAGCATTGAGAGAGTCTTATTCTCTTATCCACTCAAATTGGAGAAGGAAGTCCCTCATGGCATTTTCTTTATAATAATTAACTATTGTTATGAAATAAACAACTCTAAAATACTCATGTTAACAATAGTAAATGTTTATTATTCTCTCACATATTTTATATAAGTTAAGAATTTAGCATTATCTGAGCTGGCTGATTTAAGCTTGGTATCATGAAGTTACACTTAGAATGTCAGCAGGGGTTATATGATATGAAGGCTGGGGCTTTAGCACCTTCTTTAAAGATGATAAATCACATGGCCATATCTATAGGCAGGAGGCTTTATTCGTTCTTATGATGTTTTCTCCTTATGCATCTTCAATGTCCTCATATCATGGTGACTTTCACCCTAGGGCAATCGATGAAAGAAATAGACAAAAACCACACTGTGTTTTATGACTAAAGCTATCAATCAATATTATCTAAAAAATACCTGATAATCAAAAACATCATCCCTATCATGATGGGAGGGTAATACGCAGGAATATGAGTAGCAGGGCCTGAGCATCACTGGTCATTTTGGAGAACTGGCATGCACACCCTTATTACCCAGGGAGTAGAGTTCCAAGTTTTCTTGTCATTAGACAGCCCCATGAGAGTTCTCTTGCAATCCTTATTTTGTTAGTGAGAAACTGAAACTAGTGGACACTCAACCACTGTTACATTGCCCTTCCAGGCTTGCTTGCAATGAATATATATGGGCAGTGGTTATTAAATGGGGAACAGACAGGGTAACACTTAATAACTTATAGCTATTCTTATTATAAGTACATATTTTGTAATTGGGCTGGAGTGATAACACTGTGGGTAAGGCATTTGCCTTACACACAGTCAACATGGCCGACCCGAGTTCGATACCTCCGCTCCTCTTGTAGAGCCCAGCAAGCTACCTAGAGTATCTCACCCACATGGCAAAGCCTGGCAAGCTCCCCGTGACATATTCAATATGCCAAACACAGTAACAACAAAGTCTCACGATGTAGATGTTACTGGACCAGCTTGAGCAAATCGATGAACAACGGAGGACGGTACCAGTGACATTTTGTACTTATACAAAAACATAAAATCTTAGACTGGATAGTCATCACTGGATAAGTAGGGTCCATATACCTGAAAAGAATGAGAGCAGGAAGGTTCCTGTCGAGAAAGGAGGGTCCTCTAAATTTCTATCAGGGCAGTTTGGTTAAAGTCATTATTAACCTAGTTGTTTTTGAGTCTGGTCAAAAGAAATTTCAACTTGTTTATAGTGATCTCTTTGATTCCAGTGACCTCAACTGGTGTATCCCTGACCACAATAAGGCCTGAGTCTTGAATGTCAGAAACAAAAACATGTATTCACTCTGGCTCTCTTCCACAGCCAGGTCACCTGCTGAGTGAATGTGATGTGCTTGTTGCTGTTCTTTATTATTTCCCAAGTACTTTTCACTGTACTGCGAAGAAGGAAGTAGGGGGAAAGGAGAAAGGAGTAGGAGTGGGGAGAAGAGATAGCATAAGTTAGTTCAGTGAAGTTAAGACCTATGAAGCTCTGCACCTGTATGTTCATTGCAGCACTGTTCACAATAGCCAGAACCTGGAAACAACCCAAGTGCATGAGAACAGACGAATGGTTAAAGAAACTTTGGTACATCTACACAATGGAATACTATGTTAGGAAAGATGAAGTCATGAAATTTGCTTGTAAGTGAATGATTATATAGAGTATCATGGTATGTGAAATGAGTCAGAAAGAGAGGGGCAGACATAGAATGACTGCACTCATTTGTGGAATATAAAATAACAATATGCGACTGATACCCAAGGACAGTAAAGTCAAGGGCCAGTTATATTTCTTCATGGTTGGAAGCATGCCTCATGAGTTTGAGGAGAAGGCAGCTGGAATACAGAAGGACTGGAATTGACTTATCACTAAGTCAGTGATAGTTGAAGGGATCGTTTGGGATGGGAGATGTGTGCTGAAAGTAAATAAAGAACCAAACGTGATGGCCTTGCAGTATTTGTATTGCAAAGTATAATGCCCAAAAGTAGAGAAAGATTATGGGAGAAATTGTTTTCCATAGAGGCAGGGGGAGGGTTGGGATGAGGGTGGGTGGGATACTGGGGACATTGGTGGTGGAAAATGTGCATTGGTGGAGGGATGGTGGTTGATCATTGTATGACTGAAACTCAAACATGAAAGCTTTGTAACTGTATCTCATGGTGATTCAATAAAAATTAAAAGTCCTATGAAGCAAAATGAGCCAGGAAAAAAGAAAGGGGCATTTCAGTTTTTTAAAGAACATCTAGAATCCAGAAGGCCTCAGTAAAACCTCTGCTCACATATTGAAGATCGAGCCGCTTGGATTTCTGGAGAAGATCGTTGTGGACTGACAGAATAGCTTCATTGCCCATTTGGCTTCCATTGTGAATACTATTGAGAAGCTGGAGCTAAGGGACTGAAAGGGAGCAGTATGTCTATGTGAAGGGTTGGGGGACAGGCAGAATTCCGAGAGGGAAGGAGGCTTGAATGCAGAGGCCTCTGGGCCATGTAAGAATCTTGCTACCACTATGGGTAGGTAAGATAGGAAATTAAAATTTTTATCCTGGGTCTAAGGTAAGTAGGAGAAACAAAATTTGGGTAAAAATTGTGATTGCATTAAATCATTCTTACTTTATATTAAATGTGATGTGCTCAACAGTCATCTGTATCAAAGTGTCAGGGTAAATTTCCTGGCTGGGAATGTAAATTTGGGACCCTTCAGAACAGAGAAGGCTCTTGAACCCAAGATATCATCCAAGAAGTAAGCATTATCTCCAGAAATGTTTACTGAGGCTCCAGAAATGAAAGTACTTGGAGAGGTTAGGTGCTATGACAGGGACATTTGCAGAAGACTGGTCAGAAATGGACTTCCAGGGAGCAATAGACAGGGAGGTTGGGGGTTGTATCTTGAAAATCCAAGTGAAAGAACAATCCGCTCTTAAAAACCCAATGAAGTAAAGCCTGAAAAGTGACATTATTGTGATTAAGTACCAGTGAGTTCATTAATGAGTATGACAACAAGAGCAGTGTGAGGTGGTAGGGCACCATGAATGAAGCAGAAATAAATGGATCACGTTCACAGTCACGGTCCTCCCATTGTTCATCGATTTGCTCAAGCGGGCCCAGTAACGTCTCCATCGTGAGACTTGTTACTGTGTTTGGCATATCGAATATATCACGGGTAGCTTGCCAGGCTTTGCCGAGTGGGCGAGATACTCTCAGTAGCTTGCCGGGCTCTCCGAGAGGGGTGGAGGAATCGAACTCAGGTCAGCCATGTTGGCTGCGTGCAAGGCAAACGCCCTACCCGCTGTGCTATCGCTCCAGCCCTAGAAGTAAATGGAAGTAAATGGATGACATCTGTAATATGCTTCTGCATAATCTATGCAGAGTGAATGATGTGGATTGTTCATTGTGCTGGCCTCTATTTGGGTATGGAGGAAGTATTCTATAATTTAGTTATAAAACATTCTTAAAATACAGGGATGGGAGAAGAGAGTGCCAGTATGGAAAATATTTTAGAGCTTTTACGTGGAGAAGAATAGAAAATTAAAGTTGGGGGGAATCATGGTATTTATCTGATCTCACAATGGAGAAGACGTTACTGGGCCCGCCCGAGCAAATCGATGAACAACCGGAGGACAGTGCTACAGCGTAACAGTGCTGGTAGTAATGACCAAGTAGAGAAGATAAAATTTTGGACCTCAGATATAGCAAAATAGGTTTAGTGCTTACTTTGTATTCAGGAGGCTTGGGCTCAATTCCTGGCATCACGTGTTCTCCTGAGTACTATGGGAGTAACCCCCTAAGCACAGATCTGGGAGTAGTCTCTGTGCACTAACAAGTGTGGCCCCAAAATAAAACAAAAAAAATGGTAAAATTGATTATGTGGGAGTGGGGCGTAATGTTTAAAAGTGTTATCAGTAGAGAG